GCTATCTGGTGTAAACTCATTGAGAATTGTTCTGTTCATTGTGGTACTGACCCTTTTATTTTATTTATTTATTTTTTTAAATCATTTTATTAGGGGCTCATACAACTCTTATCATCATCCATACACACATCAATTGTGTAAAGCGCATTTGTACATCATTCTCAAAACATTTTCTCTCCACTTAAACCCCCGACATTAGGTCCTCATTTTTCCCCTCCCTCCCCGCTCCCCCCTCCCTCATGAGCCCTTGATAGTTTATAAATTGTTATTTTGTCATATCTTGCCCTGTCCGACGTCTCCCTTCACCCACTTTTCGGTTGTCCGTCCCCCAGACCCTTTTATTATTACGTGATATCTCTCTTTACTCTGAAGCGTACTTCTATGCTATATTAGTACAGCCACATCTCCTTTGTTTTGATTGTTTGCATAATTAGCTTGCTCCATCCTTTTGTTTTCAGCCTGTCTACATTTAGTGTGACTTTTTATAGATAACATGCTGAATTATGTTTTTATTTCACTTTACATATATGTGCCTATTAATCGGTGGTTTGCAGCACATTTGCATCTAAGGTGATTATTACTATGTTAGTGGCTTTTTTTAATGTGCTTTTTTTTTTTTAATTACAAAGCTACATTTAATCCTTTGGGGTGAGAAAAAACACTGGGAATGGGTAACCTCCTCGCCTCTCAGGTGTGGCCTCAGAGCAGAGGGCCTACGTGAGGGAGGAAGGAAGCACAAAAGGGTCCCGCTGCAGACTCAGAGACGGCATGGGTGCTGGGCCCTGCAAGCACCACAGGAGGCCAGGCGAGCAGAGCCGCGGGGTTGCACTGACTGTTGGCACAGGTGGAGCGCAAGAGGGCTGGACATAAAATCACAGAGCTACTTGGGTTCGTCCTCCTCCGCCTCTGCCTTTTTCTGCCTCTGCTGCACGATCTCTGAGTCTTTCTGCTGACAGGCAGCAGCAGAACGCCCGTCCTCTTGGTGCGTCCCCTAACTGAGTTGCTCTGCTGGTTCGTAATCTGCTGGCCGGCAAGCTGGCGTTGCTTTCTGTGGGTCATGGTGACGGCAGCGACTGTGGCCTGCCTAGGGTGCATCCCCTCGTTCTGTCTTGCCATTTTTAAATTTTGCCTTTTGTTCGGTTCTTTTTTTAAAAAAAATTTCTGTTATTCTCATCTTCTAGTTGACTTGAATATTATTTAGAATGCTGTTTAGATTACTATAGTGTTTTTGCATGTATCTTTTCTTATAGTTTTTTTAGTGTGCATTGCTGTATGAGATATACACAACACTGTAGCCTATTGGCTTTGTTCTTTACCAGTTTCGAGTGTTTAGTTATAATATATTGTTAATTATATATTATACATAAAATATCATTTATATTATATATTAATTATATATATAAAACACTAATCTACTGGCTTCATTCTTCAATGGTTTCAAGTGTAGAACCCTTACTTTTCCTTATGCCCTTTTACCCAACAGCTGCTCAATGAGAAAGATGGGGCTGTCACCTCTCATAAAGATTTACACTCTTAGAAACCATTTGGAGCAGTTCTATGCTGTCCTATAGGGTCACTAGGAGTCAGAATCGACTGGATAGCAGTTAGTTTAGTTGGATCCTGGTTGGTTTTTAATTCTAAATATTTCATTTTGTTCTTTTATCTTCTGTTTCTTTGCTTAGGCTTTTTTTTGAGGCTACTTATTTTCACTCATTTTGAGTGTGTTTATAATGGCTTGTTGAAGCATTCTTTATCATTGCTGCTTTATCCCTCTTGTCAGGTAAGTGTAACATCACTGCCATCCCTGTGTTGGCATCTGTTCATTGTATTTTTCATGTAGTTTGAAATCTCCCTGGTGTTTGGTATGACAGGTGATTTTTTAATTTAAAACCTGGGCGTTTTTTATACTTACCTGGCAGAGGAGATACCATGATCACGAAGGTGGTTTTCCCAGGGCGAGGCTTATCCATTGCACTCCGGATGTGCTGACCCCTGCGATTTCCCCAAATGTGGGAAACTCGACTGCATAATTTGTGGTAGTGGGGGACTGCGTTCGCGCTCTCCCCTTAAAAAAAAACACACAAAAAAAACCTGGGAGTTTTTGTACGATGAGACGCTGGGTCTTACAGGAGACCGCTTGTATCTGGCTTTCACTGGTGCCCCTGCAGCAGAAATGATGTGCTTACCTTAACACTGCTGGGTGCAGGTGGGCATCGAGAGCCACTAGGTGGATGCCTGAGGTGGGCATGGCGGTGCTTCCTTACTGCTGCTCTGGTGAGAAGTTCCTGCTCCCCAGGTGGTGTCTCCAGGGACACTGCTGTGGGAAGGGATTCCTTCTCAAAGGGTGCCAGTGAAAGTCCTGGTTCTGAGGCTGCAGCAGTGGGGCAGGAGGAATGATGCACCTCCTGTGGCCTTCACTGGCAGCATGGGACTGGTGTGGTGGAGTGTTCACTGCCCAGTGGGATGAACGACGCAGCAGTTAATCCCCTCTTTGTATACCACCCTAGTGGCTTGGTTGGGGCAATTTCCACTTCTGCTGAGTGGAAATCCAGGCTCCTCACTTGGGTGACGTGAGCAGGGCTACAGCTTTCCTATGGGGCCTGGCATCAGGATGGTTATTTTCTGTCTCAATTTTCTCATCCCTCCATTCCTGGTCCTTTGTTTTCTGATCTTGGCCCTTTCAGAAAGCAAGCTTTCACCGGGGACTTTTCTGTGGGTACCTGATGGCATTTCCAGCTCGCTGACTTCTTCAGCTCTAAGTCTGGAATCTACTAAGAAGGCCAGGGCACTCAGCTCCATGTCTTTGCTTGGGCACGTGCGCTCCCTCGCTGGCCTGTGTTTCCCCTCTACCTCTCACTGCCTCCCTGTGTTGGTTTGATCTGTAATGCCCAAGGTTTTCCTTGAGGAAGAGAAACAATAAAAAGTACCCCCTTCTATCCTCCCACAAGTGTAAGCCTTTTAAAAGATAGGGTGTGTGTTCTCATGGACTTCCTAGTAAAAGAAAAGAGATTTTCTTTAATACGTGGAAGATACTACTCCTGTGACCTTCTGATGGGTATTTTTTTAAGAGAAGTCTGTGGTCAGTGTTGCTGTTGTCACTGCCTCGGAGTTGATTATGATGATCGACCCTGCAGGGCAGAGCGGAGACCCTGTGGGTCTCTGAGGCTGTAAATCGGGTGGGAGCAGAGCACCACCTCTTTCTCCCTCCCTCACACCCACTGTGCTACTGGGGCTCCTCACTGTGAGCAATGTTCTCTTTTGTTCCCTGAAGTGCCTTTAAATTTTCTTTTTATCACTGTTTCTTCGCAGTTAACTGAGTGGCCCTTTGTATAGTTTGCTATGTTTCAATCCTACGTGTGGTTTGTTGAAGTTATTAAAATCTGTGATTATCTTTTTTTCCCTCAGAGTTCTGTGCAGGTTAACATGTGTATGGATTGATGTAACTCACAAATATAGACCAGTTTCCCTTTGTGCTACTCCGTCATGGACAGTCACTATTCTTGAAACAGTTGTTCCATTCCTGCGCCTGGACTCATCCCAGTGACGTGTCTCTTAGGGAGAACTTGAAGTTGGCCCATTGCTCTGTAATAAGCTTATATTTTGCCCTCTCCCCACTTTGTGTTTCACGACATATATCTTGTATTGTTTCTATTATCTTCAAATATACTAATCTCTTCTTTTGCTGTGTCTTAATGTATTATGAATTATATTCATGATATAATATTAATGTATTAATTAATGCCATTAAGTAATTATATTCACCCACCTCACGCCCCTTCCCGGTATATTCTCGCCTCGGAGATTGGCGTCTGTTTCTAGAAGTACATTTGGGTCTATCCCACGCCTCTCCAGAACCAGCCCTGGTTCCCTGAGAGCATGTCTTCGCTAGTGTTTCCTTGTCCATAGTGCATTCTCCAGGCCATGTCTTTCTTTTTCCTAATGAAATCATTTTATGTGGGGCCCATACAACGCTTAACACAGTCCACACATACATCCATTGTGTCAAGCACTCCTGCACATTTGTTTCCCTCATTCTCACAGCATTTGCTTTCTACTTGAGCCCCTGGTATCCGCTCCTCATTTTTTCTCCTCCCTCCCTGCTCCCCCCCCCAAATTCATGCCATTTCTATTGACAGTCTAATTGTGATCAATCATACTTTCCTGCTTCTTTGCATGCCTTATATTCTTTACTGGGAATTAGACATCATGAACTTTATGCTGTTGGGTGCTGGACTTTTTTTCCCTTTCTTGTATTTTTAAATGTATTTTTGAACTTCTGAGATGCAGGTGACTGAAAAGCGTTGCATCTTTTTCTTTAACCCTTTACTAGGCAGGTTCTGGGCAGCCCCTGGCCTGAAGACAGCAGTTCTTGGTCTCAGTGTTGTTTGGGATCAGATGCATTTTTGTTGGGACTGCCCTGTGCTGCACAGGGTGTATAGCAGCACTGCTGACCACCTCTGTCCACTAGAGGCCACTGCCATGAGCTAAGAATGGGTTTTACCTTTTACAAAATTGTTTAACAAAATAGAAGCGCTCACGACCACTGAAGGTGGTCAGGAAAGCCTAAATCTGTACTGACTGAGTTTTCTAGCCACTGGTGTGGAAAGAAGGCAGTCTTTTATTGCATGGGCCAGGTGGAAATGTAAGAAAAAGGTCTGGCTTTTCCAGTACAGAGGCAGGTCAGATCATAGACTTTGACGTCAGAAAGCTTATTACGATGTCAGCCCACTTTTCCGCCTGTCACTTAATGACCGTGGTGGTGGGCACAGTGCCAGCTCTCTGAGCCTCCGCTTCTGCTCTCGGAAAGGAGCCATGTGTATGTATGACCTTGTCTCATTGGAGAGTCAAGGGAGTGAATGAATAGGAAGCAGACACACAGTCACTGTTGCCGTTTCGTTCGAGGTATGTGCCCCTCTTACCTCGTGATGACGTGTGCGCGGTGTCGTATGCGTAGCAGCTCATAATTATGCTTATGTGCAGGATTACCTGTTCTCTTTCAGGTCATGCAGAAGGATTCTGTATGATGTGCACAATGCAAGCGCACATCACCCAGGCACTCAGCAACCCTGGGGACGTTATCAAACCGATGTTCGTCATCAACGAGATGCGGCGTAAGTACCTTGTGAGGTGGTTCCGCTCGTCCTCAGCCTTTGGATGATTGCTCTTAATGCCCCACCTGGAAAAAAGGGAGCAAGCCTTGTGTTGCATTAAACAACCAACCACATTTAATCATACGGGGATTTTTTTTTTTTAACTTAGTGCCCCGTCTAGTAAGCCATTTAACCACATAAACACACTTTAAAACTTGAAAGCAAAAGATGACATTATAACAAAATAGTAACTGGAAGATAGGTTTTTAAATGCCTCTTGGAGACTCAGAATTTGTTAATAGAATCATTGATTAGTTTTACAGCAATTTCTTTCCCCAGATGTGTGGGTTTCTACGTTGAGTACTGCTAACTCGGCTACTTATTTTCCCTCAGGATTCTGTAAATAGTTTTTAATTAGTTTCCATTTGCTGCATGAATATTATGCTATACATAGTGGCAACAATTATCAAAACAAAGTTAATTATACTATTATACACATAACTTAGCAAATTTGTGGGTAAATGTCACCTTTTATATTTAATTTTTAATTTAACACTTTAAAAAAAATTATAATAGTCCTGCTAGGTTGCCTGGATTGTGTTTATTTTTTACCCATTGTGTGTTTTTTGCAATGGACTTTAATATTTTAATGAATTGAGTTGGACAAAAAAAAAAATGCATAAACCAAAACCAAAAATCTTCAACTCCGAATCTGGTATCCAGCTGGGTAATTATAGAGATGCACGATTATGCAGTGAGGCATCTTTATTCTTTCTGCCTAAAAAAGCTGCTGAAAACTAGAGAAGTGTTCTTGCTCATCCAGAACAGACAGTGTGGGCATCTTTGAAAGATTGCTGGGTCCTAGCAGAATTTTAACCAGGAGAGTGAGTGTGTGTGTGTGTGTGTGTAAGGGGGC